ACAGCCCTGGAGAAGATCATGGCAGAGACAGCTGGCTGAGGTTTAGGGCTTAGGGCTTTCAGGGTTGAGGGTTTAGGGTTTAGGGTTTGGGGCTTAGGGTTCAGGGTTCAGGGGTTTAGGGATTAGGGTTCAGGGTTTAGGGTTTAGAGTTCAGTCGGTCTAGGGTTTAGGGTTTAGGGATGCGGAACGCTACATAGCCCCCAAGGCTCTAGTTCTAGGTGTAGTTGCGGTCTTTAGGGTTTATTTCGCGAGGATTGGGGGGTGTAGGATGTAGGTTTTAGGGTTTAGGGTTTAGGGCTTAGGGTGTAGAGTTGAAGATGTAGCGTGGCCCCTCAGGTAAGACTGAAGCCTTAGAACTTAATGGTGACCCAGCCCTTCTTTAGATGCACTTCCAGACCATACGTTACACTCTAAGCACTGAAACTGTATGTGTAGTTTAGCCCAAGTATTTTTCGAAGCAGTACAATGTGGGAATCTCCTCGAAACATGTCAGTGGTCTTTTCCTGATTCTACTTCAATAGTACGAAATTCAATCGGAAGCAGATCCCAGCATGATACCAAAAGTCGACCTCCAAGAACCTAAACCTTGCATCGATCTAGGCCTCCCCAAGGGATTATAACTGAATTCAAAACCCTAATCCGTATACCCGAAACCCTAAACCCTAATCCCTAAACCCCAAAGGCTCATGACTGAAATACTGGTGTAGGGCTCTCCTTGCGGGGTTTGGGGACGTGTCAGGGTGTAGGGTCCATTGGACGTTAGGGTTTTGGGATTTACAATACGTTTCAGTGATCGGAGCCGCAGAAATCCATTAAACAAAAAAGCCAGCTCCGGACCTTGACGTTGATCATCTTACAGGAGATGAGTGAGTCCTGCGATCGAAGGCCATGCCTACTGGCTCACGAAGCCAAAAAAGCCCAGAAAACTGCTACAAATAATGGCAACCGGAACCGGGACGCTCTCATTCCGAAACAGAAACCGAAGAGAAGTCCGAACTGAAAAAGCGCAAGGGAAGGCCGAGGAATTGCTGTACATTCAAACTGCGATTGAGGAACCAGCAACCCCTACGACTTTCACATGGCGTACTCGGCGATGGATTGATAAGGATAAGGACAAAGCGCTCTTCAAAGCTCTCTGGCTAATTCGATTGGTCTACCCTCGCAAAACAAAAAAGGTAACAATAACAGAAAAGACAAACCGAAATACACAAAACCAGACTGTCGGAGCCATGAATTCCATGCAGACCAACACACATGTGGCTCTTCGAAAAGCGTCCTCCTCTTTCCCAACGCCCTGATGTGGAGGAGGAAGCAACCTGGCTTGGGCTTGATGGGGTGTAGGGTTCAGGGTATTGCGGATGATCCGAAGGTTCGTAATGGCACGGCACGGTGTAGCAGTCCCGAAACCCGCAGCTCGAAAAAACAAACACTAGTTTTTGGGTTTAGGGTTTAGGGTTTAGGGATTAGGGTTTAGGGACTAGTTTTTCAAGCCTGTGATACGTAAACCTTACACCCTAAACGACCAGATGGCAGGTAGCTCCCCCCCCGCCTTTGGGGTTCGGCCGGAGCTCCCAATATCAAGAAACAGAAACCCGAAACCTGAACCCCGTCATCCTTTTTAAGGCCTACCTACATCCCGAACCCTCGCCACAGAGTTGAGGTTTAGGGTTTAGGGTTTAGGGTTTAGGGTTTAGGGTTTAGGGTTTAGGGTTTGAGGTTTAGGGTTTAGGGTTTAGGGTTTAGGTTTGAGGGAGCCTCACGAACTTTCAAGCCTCAGGTTCTGGAGAAGTAGCTGATGATGGCTCTTGCTGTGTTCCTGATGGTGACCGTGACTCTGGTCCGCATGAACCAGGAACTGCGACATACCCCCCTTCGACTGTGCACTTCACATTAGAGCTCAGCACCTTCAGGGATGCAAAACAAAGGCAACTTGACTTTTGATGTGACAAACTGTCAGCAGGAAGGTGCTGCCATCTCGCATAGCGGAGCAAGTGTGCCTGTCGCTGGTTGGGGCCCCTCACCGAAAGCGAGCTTTTGCAGAATCCTGTTTTCGCGGCACCGAAGACAGCGAGATCAGCGAGTCGCCGAGTCACTCTTGTGACTGTTCATGCGGAGGAAGCTAAGAGCAAGTCACTCTGCAGAGACAACCAGAGAGAGAGGCAACTACAATCGTCGTTTGAATGTCTTGGGGTGCAAACAAGCTGCACTTGTCAGCTTGGCCTGCATTTTACAATAACGGGGCCAGGCTAGTAAGATGCTTTGAACCGACCACACCACGCTGCCACTCTCCAGCGCCAGCGCCGTGCTGCCATCGGGCCTTCTAAACGCTTTCTAGGATGCTGCAAACACCACTGAAACCATCGGGGACAAGCTTCACACACATCTAAATAAGTATTGCTGCTTCCGATTCCGGCTCGAAGGCCATGCCTCCGCCAAATGCGCCCATGGAGGAAGCTAAAAGCAAGTCACTCCAAGGCAGGTTGGCAAACAGCAACTGTACAATGGGAAGCCAAAATTGTAACATCGCATCGAGCCCATGGGGTGTCCGTGGCCTTGCTAAGGCTTGTACATCACTTGAAGGAGGCTCGGGAGCAAGGGCCGAATGGAATAGATCAGCTGGAATGCGGTTGGAATCTGCGCGGGTTCGTGCCGTGGTATCCGTGACGCGTCCGTGCCTCGGTTCTGGACTGAGCAACAGACGAGGGATTGAGAAGCAGAGTTGCAGGAATGTTTAGGAAAGAGCGGCTCACCAACACCACTTCGCCATCTGAGTCTGCGAAGGCAATGTTCTGGGAGCTTCTTGGGAACACACGCAGGCTGTAGGGGAGCTGCTGGACCACCTGCATCACCTCTTCCTCCAGATCCTCAGTGACCAGGATGTCACAGGGCCTCAACTGAATGGTGGACAGATGACCGCGGATGGCTCGGAAGCAGAAAGGCTCCATGAAGATCTTTGCGCCAGAGGGCTGCAAGCGCCAGTCCAATCCCTCTTCCTGCAGGGCCTGCCGACATGGCTGCAAGGCCAGAGACTGCTCCAGATCTGCGTCCAACTGGCGATGCGAGCGGCTCAACGTCAAATGCACCACCCGAGTGAGTCCCGCAGGTATCTGAGTCTGCAAGTCGCCGCCATGCCAACCGGAGCCGATGTTGTGCTCGATCCAAGATGCCTCCTGCTCCGCCACGATGGCCGCGCCCTCCTCTTCTGAGATGTCGGCAGGTGGCTCGCTGTGCTGCACCGGCTGCAGCACCTCCTGCATTGGATCGGAGATGGATGGTCGGATGGCGTGTGGGGCAAGCCGAACCTTGAAGCCTGGTGGCGCATTGCACTGACCACGGCGATTGCTTCCGAAGCAAACCAGCTCGCCACTCGCTTTCACGGCACAGGTGTGATTGTCTCCGGCAGCCACGGCCACCACAGGACCGAGGTCGGGAGGCACATCGCACTGACCAAACTCATTGTCTCCGAAGCAAACCAGCTCGCCGCTCGCCTTCACGGCACAGGTGTGTCTCCATCCGGCTGCCACGGCGACCACCGGACCGAGGTCGCGAGGCACATCGCACTGACCACGGCTATTGTGTCCGAAGCACAACAGCTCGCCA